ATGAACTCCCTTTCTAGCAGCACTGTACACAACAAGAATGCAGTGTTTCAGAAGACAGCCTCTCCAAGACAATTAAGGAAAGGCAATAAATGTTGGTATAGCCAACAACTTCTACACCCCATGACCAAATAAAAGCAAATCCATCTTGATCTTCTCCTGAGATCCCCAGCATCATACAAGCCAGCCCTCAGCTGATCCATTCACCCTACGTGGTATGAAAAACTAGTTGAAAACACTGGATACTGAAAAGTACCTGAAAAACATTTAGCATTTTTACTAAAGACCTGTACTCCAGAACTAGCTCCACACCTAGCCAAGTTCCAGTCCTGTTACAATGCTGGCATCTACTCAGCAATGTGGAAATTTACCCAGGTATGTCCCATCCAATCCAGCCAACTACCATCGCATAAGTCTAGTCACAATTGTCGATGCATCATCAACAGTGGTATGAAGCAACATTTACTCAATAATAATCTGCTGACTAATACGTGGTTTGGTTCTGCCAGACCTCGTCTTGCTCCAAACATTTACACAAAAACTGAACTGAAGAGTAGGAATGAGGGTCAAAAACAGAAGTTGCTGGAAAAACTCAGCAGGTCAGGCAACATCTGTGAAGAAAAAATCAGGAGTTCTGAGGAAGTGTCACTGGAACCAAAACATTAACTCTGATTTTTTTCTTCACAGATGCTGCCAGACCTGCTGAGCTTTTCCAGCAACTTCTGTTTTTGTTCCTGATTTGCAGCATCCGCAGTTCTTTTGGTTTTTAGTGGGAATGAGGGTAGCTGTAAGTAAAATTCATGCTGCACAAGTGCCAGTCAATGTGACTATCTCCAACAAGAGAGAATCCAACATTACCTTTTGACATTTGTTGTGAATGGTGAATCCTTACGTACAACATGCTAAGGGTTACCATTGACCAGGACTCAACTGGACTAGACATATACAAGAGAAAATCAGAGATGAGGAATGTTTTGGTGAGTGATTTACATTCTGACTCCTGAAGATGTGTCCACTTCATTGTGAAGTTAGGAGTGCAATGGAATGCTCCCCACTCACCTGGATGAGTTCAACTCCAACCATATTCAAAAAGCTCAACATCACCTAGTGAAGCAGTATTTTTGATTAGAACCTCATCCACCATCTTCTGCATTCACTCCTTCTGCCATGGAGACACAGTAGCAGTAGTATGTGCCATCTACAAGATGCACTGAAATATCTCACCAATGCTTCTTATAAATATCACCTCTAAACCGAGGAGCTCTTCCACATAGTTTGTCTAAGGTCAGCAGAACCACAGGAATACCACCACTTCAAAGTTCACCTCCACATCACACAACATTGAATTGGGGGACTTTATGAGCACACATGGAAGGATTTGAATCTAAGAGTGAAAATTTTAAAAGCAAATTGTTGCTTTCCTGTGAGCCAGTGTAAATAAACAAACACAGTGGTGTTAGATTCCTGGGACTTGGTGCAAGTAGTGCAACACAAGTAACAAGTAGCAGGACACGGTTAACAAAGTTTTTGATGATGTTCAGGTTATAGACCGTAGAACGTGAGAGACCAGTCAGGATGACATTGCAATAGCCAAATCTAGAGGTAACAAGGCATGAAGGAGGATTTCACCAACACTTGTGCTGAGTGAGGTTGAAGATGGGGAATATTACAGAGATGAATATAGCCAGATGAATATATGGTAGAAGCACATCTTAGTGTTAGGTAGGAGATCATGGTTATGAAGATTCGCAACAAACAACTACACCTCCCAGTCGTGAACTATTTCAACTCCCCCTCCCACTCCTTGGACGACATGTCCATTCTGGGCCTCCTGCAGTGCCACAACAATGCCACCCGAAGGCTGCAGGAACAGCATCTCATATTTCGCTTGGGAACCCTGCAGCCCAAGGGTATCAATGTGGACTTCACAAGCTTCAAAATCTCCCCTCCCCTGACCGCATCCCAAAACCAGCCCAGCTTTTCCCCACCTCCCTAACCATTCCTCCCACCTCAAGCCTCACCCCCATCTCCTACCCACTAACCTCATCCCGCTTTCTTGACCTGTTCGTCCTCCCTGGACTGACCTATCCCCTCCCTAACTCCCCACCTACATTCACCTTTACAGGCTCCAACCCTGCCTCTTTGACCTGTCTGTCTCCTCTCCACCTATCTTCTCCTTTATCCATCTTCTATCCACTTCCCCCTCTCTCCGTATTTATTTCAGAATCCCCTTCCCCTCCCCCATTTCTGAAGAAGGGTCTCGACCCGAAACGTCAGCTTTCCTGCTCCTCTGATGCTGCTTGGCCTGCTGTGTTCATCCAGCTCTACACCTTGTTGTCTCATGGTTATGAAGATTTAGATTTGGTCTGTTGTCAGGGAGAAGGATAGAATTTATAAAGAAAGGTTGAACAGATTAAGTCAGAGTTGAAAATGCAATCAGATTAACCAATAAAATAGTGGTTAATCTTATTGTGCTTTCGGTTCTACCTTCCTGTCTGCAGTTGACTCCCTTGTCAATCAAAAACTACAGAAATCAGTGTTGAATAAATTTAAAGATCTCACATCTACTATTTTCTGAAGAAGAGAATTCCACACTATAATGACCATCTGAGAGAAAGAAACAAATCACCTCACCTCTGTTTTAAAGCGAGGACCTCATTCTTAACCTACATCTCTTGTTTTAGTCTCTCCCCACAAGAGAAAACATTCTCCAGTTTCCACTCTATCCAGTTCCCTCAAGACCTTGTACATTCAATAAGATCACTCTTATTCCCTCTAAACTCCAGTGTGCATAGGCTTAATCTGTTCCTTTATTCATTCATGGGGATGAGGGCATCGCTGGCAAGGCAGCATTTATTGCCCGTCCCTAATTGCCCAAAGGGCAGTTAAGAGTCAACCACATTGCTGTGGGTCTGGAGTCACATGTAGGCCAGACCAGGAAAGGATGGCAGTTTCCTTTCCTAAAGGATATTAGTGAACCAGATGGGTTTTTCCTGACAATTGACAATGAATTCACGGTCATCATTAGATTGTTAATTTCAGATATTTATTGAATTCAAATTCCACCAATGCCATTCCAGGATTCAAACCTGGATCCCCAGAACATTATCTGGGTCTCTGGATTAATAGTCCAGCGATAGTACCACTAGGCCATCGCCTCCCTAACCTTTCTTCATAATGTACGCCCACATCCTGGAATGAGCTCAGTTCTCTGAAGTTAAACCGAGAATTCTGATTTTCAATTTTGTTTTGAAGTTTTGATTCTGTTTTAAATATGAGTTAGATGTTTTCGAAGGTCCAATTTTTGCTGATAGTTTAGAGGCTTAGTGAAGTTTATGTGGGTTTGTCAAAGGTAAATTAACAGTTGATGATGGCATTCTTTTGGAGGTGCCAGGGATTTGGATGTAGCATCCACTTTTTCCACACTGTAGGGATTCTATGATTCTATACATTGTGAATGAATATTTCTACCAATGGAATATTCCTCGAACAGTTTCCTTCTGGTTACCAAGAGTAGTTGGAACAGGAAAGGCAATTCTGAGGTAAAGGAGCCGACATGGAAAGAAAGTAAAGAAGAAGAGAAACAAAAGAAAAGGAGACAAAAACACATAGAGAGAAGGAAACTGCATTTGAAATCTGTCTATCTGGGTCAGTGCAATTGAACTACTCAGTATTTCACAAAATTATAAGCGCTAAATGACTCATTCACAATGCCTTGCTGTCTGGAAACCATGCATAAGCTATGTTGTGCTTCACTGTTATTAAGAGATAAGATTGAAAATTGGTCTCTGTTGCTGGCAGTGAGCAGCTCTGCGCTGCTAAAATAACCTTAAAGTGCAATTTGCAATGTCTATTCAGAGACAGATCACACTGAAGATACATGTGTAATTGAAAGTTACTTTAATCTGGTTCAATTTGGAAGACTTTGCCCTTCACCGCCACAGAACTAAATTTGAAGCTTATCAGCTTCTGATCTAGACTGAAAATAATTAAAGATACTAATAAAGGTGACTGCTGAGGAACATAAGGTCAATAATGACATCCCCATTTCTGCTAACTGCATACGAATTATTTTCCTTCTATATTCAAAATAATTTCAAATTCAACACTATATTACAGATGCCATGTCATTTGCATGTATAAATTAACTTGTTTCATACTTGAATATCAGTTTAATATCTTGTGTGTACTATTCATGAAAATGAAGATCAAAGGCATGGAAAATTGTTGAAGGAGTGCAGTGCTGAAATTCTGTACTGCTTGGAATATGTGAAGAATAAAAATGATTCTTGGTATAACAGGGGTTTGGATCTAGTATGTTTGATATCTACCAGCCTTCCTGAATTGAAATACTGGAAATGTGAATGATGGATGAATATTCTGGTACCCTTTGGGGTCAAGAATTTCTTAAATGCAGTATTTGCCCTCCAGGAGTCAAATGGCTTGATTAAGCTCCATGATAGAGTAAGTTGTATATGCTCTGCAAAAGAGGGTTTGACCTTTATCTTGTTCCATAATTTATATTATATCATTGCTTAATCTAACATTCTGTCGCATTCATTTTCATCCCTTTCATTCTCACTTAAAACCTCACAAGGAGTAATTTAAGCACAACTTTTAGGTCTGTTCAAAGCCTCAACACATGGATCGTGAAAGTATTATCTCCTTTACCCAATGTGATGCCAACAAAAATGAATACGTTATGTGAAGTATTCAGCTTCAGAGTTAGCAAGAATGGTCATGTATATGCTCCAATCCAAGGCAATTTAAAGCTGTAAGATAAAAAGCAGTCTACTTTTTAACCTTCTTTTCATGGTGACATTTTTCTGGTAACTTTATACTTCAATTCTGATGATGCCATTCACAACCACTGTTTCAAATTAGTGACAGCCTGATGTTATGCCATTTTATTTTCATTTTGATGGCCTAAATTCAGATTGATGAACTAAAAGTAAGTTGAATTTTCTTCCAATGAATGAACATTTTGAATATTTTATTTCTAGAGGGTAATTGTCACGAATATGAGTGGAGGACAAGTCCCTGGAATGGTAATGAGCGAACTGTATGGTGCATCCGTTCAGATGGTGTGAATGTGACAGGTAAACAGTATCTAACTTTATATTGTGCATCAAATTGACAGAAACTGAATAATCAGACAACAGTTCCTGTCAGTGTAAGATTTTGAGTAATTGTTCATCTTTTTCATTGCATTCCTCTATTTATTTTAGAATGAATACATCAGGCTGATTTCTTGTATTTAAAATGCCACTATAGAATGTTATAGCTGTAAAATATTTTTGATACCATAACACATCTTCCTACTTCACTCACTTCAAACAGAGTTAACCCTTGACCTCCCCAAAGCAAGTAGTCCAAATAGTGAGTTTTGGGAGTCGGGCAAAGGCATAGCTTCCAACGTGGCAAGCTGTGACTACATTGTAAAATTAACTTTCCCTTTGAAAACTTAAGACACCTTCATGACATTAACTTATCCTAATCATCCCTTTATTTCAGTTCCTAAAACCTCCACCATTACCTTCTGCCTCTGGAACTTTTTCATTGTCAGAAAAATCCTTCAAGATTACAACCTCCTCTCACTCCAGCCATTTTAAAGGAATAATACTGATCTCATTAAAGCGGTTCCCCTGGTATCACAGTAAGTTTCTGTGGTTTCAGTTCTGCAAAATCTAAGGTGGAGAACAGTAGCAACTGATTAACCTAGTTATTTATGACCACATTTTGATCCCACCAACCTACACAGTCATTTTCGGTGAATCCCAGAGTTTGAAACTCTACCTCCACCCCATCAACATTTAAATGTAACCTCTTGTTAATGTTACCTTAAATATGTGGTCAACTTTTATTTTCATATTGATGACACTAAACTGTACTGTATGCAGTAACTACAGGGATTTTGCAGACATCCACAACTCTGTACCTGATATTAAACCCGTGGGTTAAATTTTATTACTGCGGTAGAGGAGGATTGGGAAGCAAATTTGGCAGTAATTTCATATACTGGTTAATATGTTAATTGGACAAATTAAAGTGTCAATTGAGGGCAAAGTTAAAATACAGCCCAGACTTTCCAAAATACAGATGGGTTCCATATATAGATGTTGGTGGCCTTTTGGTGTTGGGGTTTGGGCAGAAGTGTATGTCCCAAAGTGGAATGCTGTGACCTTAGGCTATCCACCTGAGGGCTCCTAGCTCAGCAATGAGTACCTGACAACTTTGGCCACTGTTTATCTTGTTGACTACTCCGTTTTCCAGCTGACTCCTCCATATTGAGATGGCCTCATGACTTTCCAGCTAGTGGTCCATTAGCATGCATTGCTCCTGATTGGCTCATGATAAGGCCTGCAGTATGAGAACACAGGATTGCAAATGCACAACCAGCCAGTGATCACTGATGGCTGGGACTCAGGTTCCTGTTTGGTCTCAACACCAGGATTCTGTAGCCCTCAGGAAAACCGAGCCCTGAGTTTACTAAAAGCTTCTGTTTCTTATTATTTCCAAAACTGTTTCCATCTTCTTTGACTCTGTAAGTGGTGACATGCCTCCGACTTTGACCCTGTCCTTCCCTGGCTGCCACCTCAGACATGGTCCAGATGTGTGAAACCTTGGTTTACTCTGAGCTCATTTTGCAATCTCCATGAACTAACCTGAAACAAAAACTGCAAAATTCCACACCCCTAAAGCTACATCTTCCCCACTCCACCCATTCACTTGCACCCATTTTTCTTAACGTCATTGTCCTTATATTGCTTTTTTCATCCATAAAATATATTTTATTCCCAGTGGTATATATTTATGTCTTTACGCATAATAAGGACCACATTTCCTCCTGTACTGATTTGCACAAGCTTCCCTTGACTTTAGCAATCTACTTTAGCATTCTTTCACCTGTTTACAAATATTTCCGTGATCTCTGCCTATCTGTTATAAACCTCTCCAGCACCCTTACCCTATAAATGTCCTGAAGTCCTCTAAAACCTGCTTACTACATTGCATCCTTACTGCTTTATGCCCTGCAGCTGTTCCTATAACTATCTTGCCCCATGTTCTGAAACTACTTGGTATCTCCACCCACTGCATCTCTCTGTCTTAAAAATCATCATAAAAAACCCTATTCTTTGAGCTTGTTTTGCTTATCATGACCATTTCATCCTTTCCCAGACATGGTGTTACTTCACTATCCTCCATTATCCTGATGTCCTTATGTCAGGTATAATTTGTCTGGTTAGCACACAAAACAATACTTTTCACTGTATCTCGGTGCATGTGACAATAATAAATCAAATTTTAAAAAGTCACAAGCACTGAGATACCTTTCGGACTATAATAAATGCGAAATAAATGCACGTTTTTAGTGAGTAAGGAAGGGGCTCAATTTTCTTTCTTGCTAGCTTCATCTGTTATGAAACTGAGGAATAAGAGGTTGGAGACATGCTCCCTGAGCCAATGGATTTGGTTGCAAACGTTTCGTCATTCTGCTAGGTAGCATCATCAGTGTGCCTCCGGTGAAGTGACGGTGTTCTATCCTGCTTGTTATTTATATGCCTCGTTTTGCAAATAACAAGTGGGACAGAACACTGACGCTTCACTGGAGGCGCATTGAGGATGTTATCTGGCATGGTGATGAAACGTTTAAAACCAAACTTACTGGCTCGGCGAGCATGTCTACAATCTCATCCACAACCCGAGCTACAAATCTTCTCAAAAACTTTAATGAGGAATAAGGCTTGTACTGTCACAGTAATGGCCTTTAATCTAGTTCTTTGGTCTGCGTGGAAAGATTGAGAAGTCAAAAGTGCAATGGCACAAAGCTGTACATTTAAAGTGTCAATTGAGGGTGCACTTAACATGTAGTCTGGATTTTACAAAAGAAGATGGGTCCTGAACATGGAGCGTGGGTGCCTCCCAGTGGCAAGCCAGGATGGTGTTGGGCAAAAACATAGTGGCAAGCTGTAACTGCACTGTATAGTTAACTTTCCGTTGATAGCTTGAGATATCTTCATGACAGAGAGGAATATGAAGAATATATTTTTCCTTAGTTTCTTCTGATAAGACGATGCAAAATACATACCATGTGGAACACGACATTATGAATCCAGAACACATATTGAAAAGTTATGATTTGTTGAATCTTTGATGGTTAAATTCATAATTCATAAAGGTGTGTCAAAGCAGCACTCTTACATTCCCCAATTTCTGCATGATTTTAGTAGCGTTAATAAACTGTGCATTATTGAACCTTATGAATGTATATTGTTGTTAAATTTATTAAATTTAGGAGGATGCTCTCCGCTGAATCAGCCAACTGCTACCAGACACTGCCATCCATCCTGCACTAAACCATACTCCTTCTGTACACAGGTAGGCAATCAAGACAAAATGCTTTTTCACTGTAAATATTTACTATTTAATAGGTTA